AGCGTGCGTGTGTGACAGGGTGTGCTTCTGCGTGCGGGTGTGCACGGCCGGGACCCGCTCCCCTGCAGGGGCTTGGTGTGTTTGTGGCTTTGGTCTGGTGCTGCCCGTCCGTCCTCGCGGCGAGGGCTTTGCAAGGTGACAGAGCATTGCTTGTTCCTCGTGAGAGGCAACTCCTGACCTGGTTTTGGTGAGGAGATGGTGTGAAGTATCACATCTGCTGCAGCGAGTGGCAGGGAGCAGGGATAAAAGCATGGAGCAAGCTGTGTATGAGAACAAGCTAATCCCTTGCTGGCTGCCTAGAACAGGAGAGCTGCTGGATCTGCTCCCTCGCCAACACTCTCCAGCTCTTCTCTCCCTCCCCAAACACGATGTGCAAACTGTCATTCCTCTGAGCTGGCTGAATCACCCCCTTCCTCTGAAGTCCTCTGAAGCTGTGCATTCACATAATTTCAGTCCTCTCTCTGCTAGGTGCTGAGGGCTGGCCCTGAAGTGCCAGCTAACGTGATGACCTCAGGCATGCTGGTGGCCAGACCTCACCGTAACCTGCTGGTTTGCCTGCACGCTGCCTTCCAGCAGTGCTCTCTGCCCTGGCTTGCCTTGTGCTCGCTTGGTGGAGAGAAAGCACAGCCTCGTCTCACTTTTGCAACACTTTATGCTTTCCCAGAGAATTTCACAGGACTTCTCTGAGCCTTGGTAGGCAGAGTAAGTTTGACAGACTAAAGTTAGAAAACAGAGGCCCTTGACATTTTGGTGGTCCTGATCTTCAGTGCCTCCCTGGGGAGGAAAGGCAGGTTGGCTCTTGTGGTGGTACAGGACCAGGAGAGGTGGTGAAAGCAGCACGTGTGTTGGGTGAGTCTCCAGACATGAGCTCTGTGCTTCTCCACTGGGACTGAGAGCAGCTTTGCTGTGGGTTGAGCTAGCTGAGGAGGGCAGAATAGTGTGTAAATGCTCAGCAAGACACGTGGAGAGGAGGGGTTGTAGGAGAACAGCTGTAAAAGGCTTTGCAAGTGTGGTCGTTTTTGCAGGAGACACGAGGCAAGACCGGGCAGGAGGCTGCTGGGCTGGAGCAGTGGTGCTGTGAGGTTGGGAGGATGGGAGGGAAATGCAGGGAATGTGACATTTGATGGAGAAGCCTAGGAACAAAGTGGGCTTTCAAAGCAGGCTGTGCTTGCTCTGGCTGAAGGAACAGGCAGGAGGTGTTTCCAAGCTGAGGTGCCAAGCTTCGCTGGATCATCAGAGCAGCAATGTTGCCTCCAAGCCCAGCACTGACAGCTTGAGCACGTGTCACCAAACCGCAGTGGCTAATGCAGCCACAAGGTGTAAATGTCACTAATGAATAAATTGCCTTGTGCCTTGGAGAGGCTAATCCATCACGGCCAGGGATGGGGATCTGACAGGCTCAGCTATTTCAGGCACAGCCTGTAGGGAGGAGGAACTGCTTTGTGGACGCTGATGCAAGGCTTGGCTCTGCACTGCTCCCCAGCTTCCTAGCTGCATGAACTCCAGCTTCATCCCCTTTCACTGTGATTAAAGGAGGAAGCAGGAGAGGGTCTAGCCTAGCTGTCCCTGAGTGGGCTAGCTGATGAGGGACTTTGGAGGGAGGCTGCTTCACTCGGGGCACTGCTGCTGTAGGTGCTGATGAGGTAAAACAATGAGTCCCCAGCAATCAGGAGAGCTTCTCTCAGTTGTTGGGGGTACAGGGCTGTGACCTGCACAGTGTGTGTTTCCAGCCAGTAATGCTTGGTTTATTCCCCAGTTCGGTTTCTTAGTTTGTCTCTATAAGAGATGACCTGGAAATGCTCTGAGGCTGCCCCAGCCCAAGCCCTCACCCTCTGTGGAGGCACAGCTCTACTGTTCTCTCCCAGGGGCAGAGCATAGGCTCCTCCATTCCCCTGTCACCATGGAACCCTGGCCACCAACACCTCAGCTGGCTGTGCAGAGGGCCAGCAGGTACCTGACAGGCAGAAACAGAAGCTCAGTGTAGACCAACCCAGTCCCACCAGCCCAAAGGGGGGCTGAATGCAGCACCCATTCCCATGCCCAGCCTCTGCCCAATCCCTGTGGCCACCTGCTCCTTCGCACCCGCTCGGTGCTTGCCATCAACCCACCGTCCTGTTGACGACATAGGCCAGCGTGACACCTTGCAAACCGATGCCTGGGTGGCTGGGAGCAGAAGTTGCCAGGCTTGGGAAGGCGGCCACCGGCCCCGGCTGCCACACACGCTGTGCTCAGAGCAGAAGCAGGACCTGCCATCTGCTGCGGGAAGCAGCCGGCTGGGAGCCCCTGCTCCGGCACCACGGGATGCCCGCTGGCGTAGTTGAAATGGAAGCCCTTGTGTCAATCCCCCTCCTTTACTGTCCGGCCACCTCCCTTGTGTCCCCCCATCACTCTGGTGCAGACCCACGGGTGGGAAGATGCTCCCAGCATGTCTGGAATCCCTCTGCTGCTGAGTGCCACCCAACGCTGCTCGCGCTGCTCCAGCGGCAGGAGGGGACGTGAGCTCCCAAGCAAGTTGCTGGAGGTTGTTCCCTCCTTCAGATGGAGGCCCACAGCTGATTCCTCTCCTCAAAGTCCCGCAGCACTCCTTGGGGATGGATCTTGTGGAGAGCTGAAGGGTCTGTGCTTGTCTTGCACTGGCACATGCCCTTCCCAGCACAGACTGACCTGCTAGTGACGGCTCTGCAAGGCAGTGTCACACCATGGTAACCAGAACCAAAGGTGACAAGTGGCCCACCAACCCTGGCAGTGTTTGCACTCAGACAACCTGTTGTTGCTGTCAGGGCTTTCATTTTTACCAACGTGTATGACATTTGATATGATTTCAACTCTTGCAAACTGGCAGATAGTGGACTGTTGGTCTTGGGTGTGGGTGAGTGGTCCAGGCTGCTTGCTTTGGGCTTTGCTGTTTGGCCAAGAGATTGATGGGAGGGAAGGCAAAGGGTTCTCCAGGCAGCAGCTACCTGTCCGGGTGCTCCTGCATGTGGCAGCCCAGGAGCGGGTTTAGAGGATGCTCGGGTGGTGTTAACAGCCTCAGCTATTTGCAAGAAGAGTAGCTCTAAGTATCCTGAAAAGCAAGTCAGCAGTTGTTCTGGGATTAATATGTTCTCCCAAGCCCTTTTCTTCTCATCCCTGTTCCTTACTGGCTCTGGTGGCCAGTTCCTCCCCATGTGTCTGCTAGCATGTCTGAGGGATCTCATCACTGCTCTCCCAGCACGAGCTTTCATTGCACAACTGGCTGACCAGATGCAGCCCTGTACTTGGAGCTACAAACAGGCTTGCCGAGGACCAGGCCACCCCATTAAGCTCCCATCCCACCCTCACTGCTGGAGCTCTTCCTTCATCAGCTTGAAGCTGATCTGGGTCTTTCCTGCTGTTTCTGAACACGAGTTCTCATATTCAGGTGTGTCATTCAGTGGAAATATTTTGTAAATGCAAATAAAAATAAATAAATCTGTTCAATACCTCCGTCTGGAGGATGGGAAACAAGTAGTGGGAGATGCCCCGGTGGGGAGGTTCCACAGCTCCTGCTACTGGTTAGGTTTTCTTGCAGATGTAGCCCCTGGAGCATCCACAAATGGTTGGGAAGGGAGCTACACAGCCCTGCGAGTGCTTGGGCCTGAGCCCTGCTGGTACCCCTGCCAGCAGAGGCAGCCTCACCCTCCATCCTTTCTGCTCTATATGGGGGTGACACGGTGCAGGCAAAAGGTCCTGTGGGACGGGGATCTGCGCGTGGTGCCGGCGTGGGCATCTGGATCCATCCAGCAGAGCAAGGCAGAAGCGGGTACGTGGCAAACAAATTATTTTGTGAGCACTGGGAAACAGTTTTTACTATCCAACTCTGTCAATATGATCTAGCTCTGTCTGTCTCTCTATATATGTACAAACAGTATATCACAATGTTGCCTTTTTTGTTGGAAATATCAAAGTACAAAGATTGTAAACCAAATCGGTGTAATAAAAGTTTCAGATGATTCACTGAGGTGGCTGCCAGCGGTGGGTCTGTGAGCGCTGGTGCTGCGAGAGGCATGAAGGCCCCCTTGCTTAATTCCTCACTGACCTCTCCTGAGTGGGGCTGTCAAAGGACCAAGGCAGTCAGGTATGTGCTCTGTCCTGTTCTCAGGTAGCCACATGGGGCAGAAGGAATCTGCTTCATTTTCCTCCATGCCCAGAGAAGCTGCTGCATTTTCAACCCTGTGGGCTGTGCGAGCCAGCAGTCCTGCAGGGACCCCTCTAGCTTGCAGTTATGTGAAACAGATTTTTTTTTGACAGGTTTGCACAGAAGAGCACTACTAGTTGAGGCAAGCATCTGGCTGAAAAGAGTTTGTCTCTGCAAAGCGGGCTAGCACAGATCAAAGACATAGCAACCCAAAGCAGGAAATCATGGTGGAGAGACCCGTCATTTATTTAAATATATTTTTTTCCTACTTTTCACCACCCAAATCTGAAACTCCTGACAAGTTTTGCTATGAAAACAAATAAATTATTGAGCAGAGCAATAGCCAGAAAAAGCTGCACAGGAACTAGAAGCAGCATTCCCTCTATTTTCTACACGTCTCAAGTCCTCCTCAGCAAAAAGCCTTAGTGGGCTGCCTTCCCTGAAGGTTAGGTCTGGACTAGAACATTTAGATGGTGGAGACTTCACCATACCTGCTTTTCAGGTGGAACAACATGTGGTTGCCCAAACTGGGCTTGCTGCCAGAGCACATAAGAAACACTACAGGAGGTGGGATTTAGTTTCAGGTGCAGTGGGAGAGAGGGTTCAAGAGGCAGATTGCTTCTGTGATGGCACTACTGTCCCATGAGATCAAACATCTGTCTGGTGTTAAGTCACAAGTTGGATGATGGGAATCTGGGAAGGGCTGTGGTGGTGGCCACAGATTGAGTGTTGCTCAGAAATACAAATAAATACAAGTCTCTGAAGTAAAGTATCTCCAACACTGAACCTGCAAAGCTCGTTGCTCTCTGGACTGTTTTCTTCAGAGGGGGCTAGCAGGGGGTTGCTACAGAGTCTCCAGCCTTTCTGCTTCCTGGTTGGCCCACACAATTTGGTGAATGAGGTACTCGATCTCCTGGCCAACCTCTGCCAGGCGGAGGTCAAACTCGGTCACAACCTTGTTATCTTCCAGCCCGTTAAGCAGCTGCTTCCCACCATCCTGCAAATGGGTAAGAAAGGGGAGTTAAAGGAGAAGGTCCAAAAGTGAAGTGTATCGCTCCATTTCCCTCTTCCCCAGGGCAACTTCTGCATTTCCCTCCTACCAGTGGTGGTGAGCCCAGGAGATGGTGTTAAAAGTGACAAAGGCCTTCGAAGCCGAAGCCCAAAATTTTGCTCACAGGAGAAGAACACAGGGAAGGAGTGTAACCTTATGCAGCACTCAGTGATGTGACACATGCTAATGACTCCCTCTGGGCACGGTGTCAGGAGTCTTCAAGCTCAGGCTGGTTAATAGCATGGCTGGTGATGATAACCTGAGAGGAGTCTCTGCATCCCCCTGCCCCTGGTCCCCAACTCACTGCCAGCTGGGGACAGAGGGCAGTGTGATTAGAGCACTGCTCATCATCTTGGCAGTGCTGAGAGCTCCACTGCTAACAGCATCCTGCCTGGATGCAATTTCCCAGGCTGGGTTGGCTTTCCTGTGAGGAACATCTCACACAGCTGGAGTCCAGCCTGTATGGGGCAGAAAATGTGAAGGAGGCAATTAACTTGGGAACATTTTCTTCCCTTACCTGAAGCGTTGTCTTTAGGGATGTGACAATTTGACTTTGTTACCCACTTCCCCCAGCTATTCTTTTTCAGGTACCAAATTAACCTCCTGTGCCCATGTCCTCCATCCAGGAAGTCCCCTCATCCCAGCACCCTGCCTCTTTGACCTTCTGCTCAAAAGGACAGGGCAAAAAGGACAGGAAAGGAATGTCTTTTTAATGGGCTCTGGAAGTCAGAATTTGATGCCTCTCTAACCAAGACACTCATATCCCCAAATATAATACCACAGGTTCACTTGTTTCCCAGATACTAATCACAAAGATTATTTTTTCTGAAGGTAAAATCCTTCTTTCCAACCTTTGCCCCCTTGTGTCATTACACTCAAATGTTTTTCCCTGTCTAGGATCATAAACCTCAGAACTCACAAAAGGTTTCTGCCATCAAATCCTTTTAAAACTGTTGTCAAATACATTGATGCCAATATTCCTGCCAGCAGGGACAGCTGGTCTTGCTGTCTATTGTGACAGTGAGAAAAATTAAGGCAGAGCAGAAAGTTTAAAAGCCGGCATGACTGCATTTTCCTGTTTCAGATTTCTAAAGCTCTTTTTAATCAGCAGAAGAGAAGCAGCCTGGTTTGTGAGTGTGTTGCACACTGCAGCTTTTGGGGATGTAGTAAGATGAGCAACCTGGTCTAGTGGGAGGTGTCCCTACCCATGGCAGGGTGGTTGGAACTTTGGTGACCCAAACAATTCTTAATTTCAATGGTTCTATGATTCTAAGATCTGTGGATGCTCCTCTATCTAGAAAACTGTAAGCCTGTGGTTTAGAAGCCACTCATAAGCACCTAGATGTGCCACTTTTGACCTACCGTGCCACTCCAGAGTGGCAAGGTGAGATAAAGGAGCTCAACAACAGAGCCAATTTTCAGTCTCCCCAAAGCATGTGATGGACAGAAGAGATTCTGGGAAGGGTGACACTATCTGTGTGCTGCTGAGTGACAGATGGCACAGCAGATCCAAAGTGCAGAGGATATGCATAAGGCTCTTGTCTCATGCTGCATATCATTATTAGATACTCCCACGTGTGTGAAGTGGCTTTGATTTTTCCCAGACATACTTCCTCGTCCTCAGTTTCCTAGGGGGGAAAATGTCTCTCTGCCCAGAAGCCCAGAGCCTGGAAGCCAGATTCAGATTGGGAGCACCTGTCAACAGAGCTAGATGTATGTGTGCACAGAAGATGTCCTCCTTCCTGTCATCTTCTAGAGTTTCCTCCCTCCTCACAACTGATTGGTATAGCAGCAAGATTGCATCATGAGAGATGCATTTGCCTCTGTGGCTTCAAGACAGGGCAGGCTCAGCATCTGCTTTGCAAGGCCACCACACAGTCTCGCAAACTGCAGGGAGAAGGGGTTTCTCTTACCAGCCCCAGGTTGTTGCATGAGAAATTGATGCTTGTCAGGGTGGCATTCTGAGCCAGGACCTGGGAGAAAAGCTTAGCGGTTCCCTCTGACAGGTTGTTACTTCCCAGATGGATGGACTTCAGGGTGGTGTTGGTCAGCAGGGCCTCGCCAATCGCCTCCCCACCTTTGTCCTCCACATGATTGAGGCACAGATTCAGGGAGATGAGGGTGGAGTTCTTGGCCAGGGCACGGGCAAGAGCCTCAGCCCCCAGGTGACCAATCTGGTTGTTACACAGATTGAGGATTTCTAATCTGCTGCGGGTGAGCAACGTGCCAACATCTTTTGCCCCCTTGTCCCTGATGAGATTGTGGGAAAGGTTCAGCTCCACCAAGCTGGGGTGATCCAGCAAGTTACGGACCAGCAGCCTGGTCTTCTCATCATCCACGTTGCTGCGCGTCAACTTGAAAACCTGCGGGCATAAAGGACAGGGACACTAAAGAGCCAGTGCTTTGGATTGTGTGCTGTACAAGATCTCCAGCAAGTTAAGCCCATGGCCCACCAGACAGTGTCTCCCTTCACTTCAGACACCTTTAGCCAACAGGTTCGTGTTGTTGCATTTACAGTGGGCAGATACTTCCAGCAGGCTGGAGACACCACTGGTGTCTCCTGCATGTTCTAGGGAGAAACGGTTCATCTGCTGGAAACACCTGTTCCTCTCCTCTTACTCTCACTGTCCAGTTAAATTAGGAGTGTTGCTTTCTCTTGGGTTCCAAGGAACATGCTTTGCAGGAGCAAGTAGTTTTCTTACCAACCCTCTGGCAACCATTTCTAACAAGAACATATGCCGAAGCAAGATACTCAGCACTAGGCCAGCAAGTTAACATTGCTGCACTCTGCTGGACTGCAGCTTGCAAGGGGATGGGTGCTCCCAGAAAGCAACACTAGCTCCTGGTTTTCTAGCCCTGGGAAATTTGAAGATCTAGCTGATGAAGGAAGGTTGGGTTTGGGATACGTTACTTTCAAGTTGCGGCACATCTTCACGGCGACAGCCAAGTTGCAGCAGTCCTGGTAGGTAAAGTTAAAGAGTTTCCACTCGAAGTTCATGCCACAGTCCTTCACACCGTAAGTGAGATGAAGCTCCTCAAGGTGAGGGAGAGCAGTAATGAGGGCTCCAAGGTCATAGTGATGCATGGGGACATCACTGAACCCAGCATCACTGTCTGAATCACTCTCCTCCTTTTGATCCACCTTCACTGGTGGCAGGAACTGATCAACCTCCAGTTTCCGCACATAGTCTTTGCAGAGTGGGATGAGCTCTAGGACCTGGTTAGGGTCTGTGGAGTTAGGGATGAAACATTTCAGGACGTTCTCCAGGTGACGTTCAAAAAACATCCGTTTCCAGCTCTCGCCATAGTTGGAGAGGTCACACACTTGCCATCGCTCAGTGCAGCACCTCTTCCAGTACTCCTCATCACTCACTAGGTTGGCAGTCACAGTGAGTGGAAGGCCAGTGGAGAGCCTGTCCAGCACCTTCTTCTGGTGTTCAGGCAGAAGACGGTTCAAAATAGGGTTCTCTGGAGAGAAGAGAAGGAGAGGTTGCTCTGGGCTGTAGGAATCATGGCTGGCACTCTGATTGTGCTCAGGTCCCCAGCTGTGTGCCCAAGCCCTCCCCTCTGATGATACTGGCTCTCTTCTCAGTTGCCAGCTGCTGGTGCAGGGAGCTAAGCTGGCAGAAAATGAGTAGGAAACATTTCCTACATTTCTGTGTAGGATTTCTAACTGTTACAATAAAACATCAGCATAACTGGGCTTTCTCCCCTAATATTTGGGAACTGCATCAGAAACTTAGCTCCCAGCGTAAATTTAGTTTGAATGCAGTTTATATTCAGAGCAGGACTTCTGCTCCCAACAGAGCTAATTCAGCCTTACAGCGAGGAGAGAGCTTGGCTTGTCATTTGCTGAACTTTCTCCCTTTGGTTTCTAAGCATATTAAAGAATGATATTTGAGAATCATTGTCTTGTGTGCTATTCATGCAAGTTCTGGTGCCTTTTAATCTTAACTCAGGTGTCTGCCTTACCCCAAATTGATTCCTGTCCACCTTGTTTAAGTAAAAGTTCTCTTTTCCCAGGAGCTTTCTTCCCTCAGTCTGTTTTCCAGTGTTTGCCCTAGGTCTCAGTTTGCTCCTTTGTGCTGGAATTTCTTTGTGTCAAGTAACACCAGAAAAAAAGCCATGTGTACTGACATCACGAATGCTTGGTGACACATACACGGCAGCATTAACAGAAATCACTGATGTCAGTTATTAATTGAAATAAGTAATACTTGGGGAAAACAAATTATATTTGGGAAAGTCACATACAAGAAAACATAAGGGGCATGCAGAATAAAGACAGGGCCCAGATAGCAGTGAAACAGCAAGAATTAGACAAAACCAGATTCCATTTAGAGGAAAACATGTCCCAAGTAGTCAACAGCCCAGCCTTGAGACAGGCCTGCAGGACACCTGCTAAACAGATGGAAGGGATGGGAAGTGGCACTCCCCACAGCTTATCTTGGTTACAGCCTTGAGCACTAGGGAAAAAGACCTTGAGTAATTGAAATCTCTGTATTGATACATTAATGAGCCATTAGCACACTCAAATTCACACCCACAGGCTAGAGGGACCCCTGCTAAAAAGAAGCCCCTTACTCTCTGAGCATGCATACTGAAATTCCTGACCATTGCCACTTTGAATGGAAGTAATGGATTAGTTGACCAGTCATGTGTGCCAGTGGTAGAATAATGTTAGACACTAAGTCCTTTCTCAAGTTTTTGGGTAGGAAAGTAGCCCTTGCTACCTGCTGCCTGACCAGCTGACCTGACCACCACACCACCTCTAGGCTCATCTGTAGCAAGCCTGGCTTTATCCCCCACCCCCTTCCAACCTAGTTAAAAGCCCTATCAATGAGACACATCAGAGCTCTATCCTCAAGAGCTACCATAACGTATGCATAAATCTAGAGAAGGAAACAGCAACTCCACAGCCTCGGCCACAGTTGAGGTAATTGAGTTCAGCAGAGCATGGAGGGAAGAGGAAACAATAGGACAAGGTTAGGGCACAGTCACATCCTGGATAGCAGCCCAGAGGACTACAGCCACCCCTGGAGTGTACAAATATATACTTAGCAACTAAACAGTTTGTTTAACTAGCTGCCTGAGGGGATATTTCTCCCTCCAGCAGGCTTGGGTACCACGCTCTGCCTTTCAGATGCCTCTGCCTGCCTTGTTGACCCCCTGCTCCCCGTGACTGGTGCTCTCTCTTCACGTGCACCAGGGAAGACAAGCTCCTGCTTACTTTCAAAATTCTGGACAATGTGCTGGAGGCAGAGTTCAGTGAGGTGGGGGACAGTGGCAAGGGACCACTCGGGATCCTCGATGATGCGGTGCATACGGTACGAGTCAGAAGTGAGGGTGGTCTGGGATGGGTACAGCCAGGGAACGGCTGTGCTCTTGTCCCCAGCCACTGGCTGCTGCATCCTGCTCAAGATCCACTTCTCCTTCAGGACAAGAAAGATGAAAATTGCTTGAGAGCAGGAGTCACCACCGTGTTTTCCAGCTGGGATGCCTGCAAAAGAAGAAGGTAACTTTAGAAAGAGGCCAGCAATAAGAAATCTCCTCTGTAATGCACTCAGCCCCTGCTCTTTGCCTGCTTCTCTGCTTGGACTGGGAGCACTGCAACTAAGCAATTATTATCCAGCCTTATCTTTCTACAGTGTCCGGTACTAAGAGGTCTCTAGGTGCCAAGCATAATAAGCAGATAATAACGTGGTATTAATTCAGACTGCTACTGAAGAGGACGGACAGGATTTGATTTTTTACTGTTTTTTCCAGTAAAAGAAATAGGTGAAGCTGGCAGGAGCTGGGTTTAAAGCAAAGGAAAATTATAAGTCTTCACACCACCTGCAGTTGAGCTGGGGAATTCCTTACTTACTTTATACTTACAGAATATCTATGCACATTCCAGGATAAGTGCATGGAAGAGAAACCCCCTAAGAATGATTCACTGTACAGGAACTACAACTGGCCCAGGGTGAGCAGAACACAGCTGGAGGAGGGGAGAATGCTGAAGGAAAAATACACACATATTTGCATTGGTTTTTTACTCTTCTCCAGGTACCGGCTTCTAGACACTGGCAGGGACAGGATACTGGGCAAGACCATCTTTGGTTTGATCCAGTATGCCTGTTCTTGTGATTCTTTAAAGACAGATGCTTTACAGATGAGTACACTGTAAGTATATTTGTGGGGGTTTTTTGTGCTTTTCCCAATTACTCTCCAGCTGAACTCCTTCCAAACATCCATTAGCTGACAAGATGGATCAGATGGTTACACCTCTTCAGACCACACTGAGCCTAAGCAGATAAGAGCTAAAAGAACCAGCCTAGAGCAGTAGGCAGGATGCCCAGTCCTATTAGCTCTGTGAAGCTTTTGCAGACCAAAGTTTCCCATTTGCCATCTCCTACGCCAACCTCGGGACCGGCACTCTCATCTGTCAGGATCCCACGTGTACAGTTATAGCCTGGAAGTCCTAATGGTTCCCTTTCCAGCCCTATCAGTCTGAAAGAGGCAGAGAAGACACTAGAAAGGAGTCTGCCTCTTGAGTTCTGGGTTCAACAGGAGTGCCCAGGCTTGGGAGCATCCCCCAAGGCACATAGGCCCATGCTGATCCTCGCTTGGGCTAACTGGATAACAGGGCTGCAGTACAGAGAGATGAACAGATGGCAAGGTCAGAGGTGAGGACAGCTTCCTGCAAGACCAAGGGGATGCCTCAGGCTAAAGGTGGCCTTGCACCCCAGTAGAATCAAAAGGGTCCTGTGATAACATCCTGCACAGAAGCCAACTGCCCTGTGCTATCTTGTGCCACAGCATCCCTCAGCTGAACAGCCCTTTGACCCCAAACAGCTCCTCTTTTTATGAAGGGCAAGAGACAGACGGTGCTCCCCAGATGGAACATCTTAATTGTTTCCCCTGCACCAGGCTGCTCCCTTCTCCTCTGCCCTCTTGGTTTATGCTGCCTCAGTCAGCACAGGCCCCTCTGTCCCCGAAAGCTTTGTGGCTCACTTTTTGCTAGTGTTCCTCCCTCTGCTCCTTCTCCCTCCAAAAGGCATCTAAAGAAGGGCCTGCAAAGGAACTGGCAGAGGGGGCTGAGGGAGGAAATCTGTGAAATGCTGAGAACTACAGAAGAGGAGCAAAATGATTCATGCTGTACTGCAGCAAATGTGTCAGCAAAGGCTTCTTCAAATGCACTTGAAGCAGGTCTGGGGAGAGAGGAACTGTTTCAGAGTGACAGTCAGTGTGGAGATGGCAGCAGCAGGGCACCTCCAGCACAAAGCAGGAGGATGAAGGGTGCCAAGGGCAGGGAAGCTGAACTTCCCGGGAGGCACTGGTGTACGGATGACAAAGGCAAAAGCTGTAGAAAAAGTGATCCTGGTCTGGAGAAGCGTGGGTGTGGAAGGAGAAGAAATGGGTGATGGGCAGATGCAAGGACTGAAAGTTCTCTCTCTGCAAAGCTCCCTGCCCCCAGGGGAAGGCGCCTTGGTGGTGGGACACCATTGAGGGGGAAGAGATCCCCTACAGCATGCTGACCCAGCTGAAACCCAGCTCTTGGTGCTTGACAGACTCCAGCAGAAGGGCAAAGCACAGCTGGGTAGCAGTGAGGTGGCATTAATAGAACAGAAGTGACCGGGAAAAATGTTTTCTCCTTGCTCAGTCCTTCGTCCTATTCAAAAAGCATCTGTGTCACTCTGTCCCCCAGGCCAGCCACAGCTAATTGGAGTTACTGATGGCTTTCCTGACCTTTTGGAAGAAATTGTTAAAGGCCAGCTGTTGTGGAAAGCCAGTGCAGCATCGGTGGCCTAGGATTATTTCATGGCTGCTTTCCAGATCAATTTTCAGAGGGTACCTCTCCCATGGCACTTGCAGGACTGCCAAAGGGGCTCCTGGAGACCAAGCGTGAGGCACAGCTGCCCTCAGGCAAAGCTGAAACCCAGCTCTAGAAAACTGCAGCCCCTCCATCCGTCGGATGAAGCTGACTGAGCAAAGCTCAGCTGCAGCAGGAGGTCAGCCAGTGTGCAACCACCCAGCTGTGGACCAGACCCAACACAGGATGGCCCCAAAAGAGAAGCAGGTAGCTCAGAGCGTCCTGGCTGCTAAAGAGCTTTCCCCTGATCTGAGCTCCACACCTACTCAGCTCCACTGATTCTGCCATCCCCACTCAGCACTCAGTGAGAATCCATCATGAACAAGGTGCATCAACCCCTCGCCTGTGCTGCTGGGGGAAGTTGAGTTTGACACTGAGTCACCCCTCCTGCTGCATCCATCCCCACCACCCCCAGCACAGGGAGCACACCCCACTGCTCTTCTCTGTGGGTGTAGTCCCCCAGGGGAAGGACCTCTTTCACCCCTGCATCTCCTCTGCCTTGGCTGAAGGATCCTCACCCAGCCAGGACTAACACACCAAGCCAGCTCCATAGCTGAGTTTGCTGAGTATGGATTTAAGCACAGGAGAATTGTTGTCATTCACTATCATTAAGCCAAGTCAACAGTGTTAACACACGTGCCTTCCCACCCACTCCACACGTCACCTATGCTAAAAAAAGCTTATTAAGTAATATACAGTGAATGGGGTCATGTACTAAATTCCAAGTTTATGTCATTTAACACCCAGATGAGGCTGGAAGGTGAGTGACACCAACATTTCTAAACAAAAGAAATCACACTTCCTTTCTCAGGAAGAACCTGATCTTTCAGAAAATGCCAATTTATGCTAATACCTAGCATGCCAAACAAACCTTCTGCTGCACCTGTTTTGATCTGGAAACAGGACATGTGCTCCAACATAAAAGTCTGTGCTCTTTTGATTCACACCAAAGCCCAAGAGGCCAAATAAAGGAGAGTTACATGGAAATGGGTGACCTTTGGCTGTTATCTCCTACCAGCAGCACAGTGATCCAAGAAACAAAGTGCCTATACACACAGTGTTTACCAGTAAGTTTGTAAATAGAGAAGAAATTCATCCTGCGGATGCTTATGCTCCAGCCAACATCACATTTGCTCTGAAACTCATTCTACCCAGAAACTACCAGCTGAACTACAGGTGTCCTGGCCTTCATGCTGTTACTCCTACTCTGAGCCAGCTAGTGGGGATGTTGGCAAGCAATCCCACGGTGCTGGCTAACACCACTTGACTCCACAGCCACCTGCAAGGCCTTGCCACACTCCCATGCACTTTGAGAGGCTGATGCTAAGTGTGCATTTGGGCAGTGTCCTGCAGGCTCATCAAGGGGCTGAGGCTTTGCAATGGGCCTTAAGTACATTTAAAAAGAAAATAAAAATAGTGTGCCAAATGAGGGATCTATTTAGCTTCAGATATCATGGAATTCCTCTGTAATGGGAGACTGGGCTGAATGAGGCCAGCTGGCTATATGGTAAAGTGGTTAATGTCATGACTGTTGTCCTGGTTTGAGCCAGGATGAAGCCAATTTGCCTTTTACTGATTTTTTTTTTTTTTTCCTTTAGTAAGCTTTCTTTTATCTAGAAACAGTGTGTTCCAATTAAGGCTGATAAGAATGGAATGTTTTTGTAACTGCTGGGTCTCCAAGGTCCCACCTGCACTCTGCCGGCTCAGACACTACAGGGAGATCTGTGACCCCCCGTAGGAGGCTGAGTTAGACAGACAGCAAAACTGGCCAGAGATATATCCATATATTCCAGGTATCTACGTAAGCTCAGAGGAAGGTCAGAGATCATAAAAGACAACTTCCTTCCTGCTGCTTCTTCCCTCCCCTTCTGTCCATGGCTGGGGTCTGGGGAGGACTCTGTTCATCCATCACCACCCACCCCCAGGCTGGAGCTCTCCTGAGAGACTCTTGCTCATCCCTGAACATATTTGTATGTAATTGTATATATATTTTCTTGTATCATGAGTGTTTAATTAAAGCTGTGTAGTTTAGTTTTCAATCCAGCCAAGTCTCTGTCTTTTTCTCTCTCTCCTTCCCTACCTGGGTGGGAGGGAGGGGGATCGAGAGCGTTGTTGAGTCAAAGGGTGACAACAGAAATCCAGCCAGTGTGGAAGGACCAGCCCTGCGGTCCTGGGTTCCTGCCAGCAGCCCAGCGGCCTGCCCGGGGGAGGGTGGCTGCCCGGGTGAGGTGTCAGAAGCAGCAGCACACGCCAGGACCCGCGCATTGCCCACCGCAGCCCTGGGATCAGCCCCTGGGGGCCCCGGGAGGAACCTCCTGATCCCCGGGGGGAAGGAAAACATCCGGCTGCTGCTAAACCGCAGCGTGCCCAGCTCCCCGAAAGCCAAGAAAGCTCACTAGCCCAGCCGCTTGATTAAGACTTGCGAATCGCCGAGGCGGGGAGCCCCGCCGGGAGGGGGGGGATGCGGCAGCTCCCGGGAATGCCGCGGGTGCGGAGCGGGCGGGGTCCCCGTCGGGCTTGGGGTTCCGTCTGGCGGCTCCGGCTGCGGGGCGGGGG